ACACGCCTGCTGCGCCGTGCGAGCCTGCAACGCATAGAGACCTCACCCCCCGCGCACCCCCTCTGTTATCGAGACATTGCCACGCCTGCCGCCGTTGTGCTCAGCTGCGTCTCTGTAATTACTGAGCTGAGCTGTGCTTGCCCACGCGCACACGCACATGCAAGCCCACACACCGTGCACGTGGTGTGCCGAGCTGTGCTGAGCTGTGCCGTGAGCTGTGCCGTGGAGGAGGGCAGGAAGGAGGAGGGAGGGAGGATTGCAAAAAAACGAAGGATTGCAAAAAAACGAAGGATTTGTTTGCAATCCTTTTTTTTGCAATCCTTCGTTTTTTTGCAATCCTTCGTTTTTTTGCAATCCTTTTTTTGCAATCCTTTTTTTGCAATCCTTTTTTTGCAATCCTTTTTTTGCAATCCTTTTTTTGGAAGGAGGAGGGAGGGAGGTGTGAGGGAGGAGACGCGGGTGCGACGCGGCGGGGAAGAGAGCCAGGACCCCACGAAACATGCGGGGACAAAAACGCTCACCGGTCTCCGGCGGCGCGCCCCGAGAGGGAAAGGCGAGAGCCCCGAGCTCCTGGCGACGCGCTCTCTTCGAGCCCGGCGTGCTCGCCCGGGTGCGGGCCACGGGGCCCTCGCAGGGCGATCCGGCTCGAAGGAGAGCGCAGGAAGATGGGGCCCTGGTCGTGATTTGTCGCGAGGCTTCAGGGCGGAAAAAACACAACAAAAAACACAAACACACACACACACACACACACACACAACAACAACAAAAAAAGCACGAGGCGTCGGATCTCAGGGAAGGAGAAGACCTTCTCAGACGGCTCAGAAGTCCCCCGGCCTCCTGCGGAGCCCTCCAGAAGCCTCCCCCGAAGACGCCGAGAAACCCTCCCAGAAGGCCGGAGGCCTTCTGAGAAGCCCCCCCCCCGCCTTCTGAGAAGGCCTTCTCCAGTTTCCCCCCCTCGCCGCCGAAGACAGTGACATTGGCATACACTTTCGGAGGCCAGCGCGGATTTCTCGGACAGGCGCTGGACACCCCTACCGACCAAAGCGCGCCCAGGGGCGGCGCCGGAGGCGCCGCCAGGGGGGGGGGCTCCGGCACCGATCTGAGAAATTCGCGCGGACCTCCGAGAGCTCATGCTTATATTCGGGACGATCGAAATTGGGTACGGAAAGAATGGGTGCGATGCCCAACAGCAGTTCCTGTTCATTCGAAACAGGACTCGCTGCCCGCGCCGCCGCGGACGTTGTTCTTTGAAGACGGCCGCTGTCGGTTTGGGACAACATTTCTTGCTGGGCATTGTACCAATTTTTCCCATGCCCACTTCGGGCGGCCAAATACTCGGCGGTGGACAAACCTCCCTATAGCAAACCTCCCTTTTGTGGAAACGGCCTGGGACCGAAACCGACGGACCTGGACCCGCAAAAATGACGGCCGCGACGCTCTCTCGCGAACCGGAAACGGCCAATTCGCTAATCGACGTGTCAGGGTAGGAGGTCGATCAACATCCGAGATATGTGATTTGTTGCTCCCCTCGGGGATCTTCTGACCCGGGTCAATCCAGACCCGGGTCAGTCAGCTCTTGCAGAATCCTGCAACCTCCTGCAAGATCCTGCACCCAAACCCTGGCCAATGCGAAGGATCCTGCAGGACCCTGCAGGATCCTGCACCCAAACCCGGGTCAATGCGACCCTGGCCGCGCAGGATCCTGCAAGATCGGGCGCTCTGGCTGACCCTCGTTTATATTTACCCCCGCCTCAATTTGGACGCCCAAAATGGGTACGGAAAGAATGGGTACAATGCCCAACAACAACTGTTGTCCCAAACCAACAGCGGCCGCTGTTGGGCGGGCGGCCTTCTGTCTCGAATGGACACAGGCCGCGGCGGCGTGGACAGCGAATCCTGTTCAAAATGAACAGGAACTGCTGTTGGGCATCGTACCCATTCTTTCAGTACCTATTTCGGGCGTCCACAGACTCAAGGCTCCCGATCCCCGACACCTGCACCGGCCCCGGCCGAGGGCCGCCCGCAGCCCAGGATCCCCGCGCGGCGCCGGAGGCTCTGCCCAGAGGTTTTTTGCCGGCCGCGGGGCCGTCGAGAGGCCCAGGCCCCGAAGGGGGGGGCCCTCTGGGGGCGTCTGCCCCAGGGGACCCCTGGAGGCCCATGGGCATGTCGGGCATTTCTGAAGGGGCCCACAAACACACAGAGAAATACACACTCACAAATATAACAGGAACCCCCATATTTTTCCACATGTTCTGGGCTTCTGTCTACCCCCATTTCCCATATTTTCCCATGTTTTCCTGGGAGTCGACGATGAATTCGTGTGTTGCTTTCCCTCCTGAATGTCCTCCTGCGGACGGATTCTGCAGGGGAGCATGCAAGAAAAAATCGCAAAACGTAGCCCCAAACGGCCCAGGGAGCACGAGAAGTCACCTCCAGACCTTCTGGAGTTTTCCCCCTACAGGGGGATTTTGAGCTGAAAATTAAAAATACTCAAAAAATCCAGTAATACTCAAAAATAGTCACAAAACAAAACATCCCCAACTCGTTTTGGACTATTTTTTAACATCCCTCCTGTAGAGGGACATGCCCGATTCAGACTTCACTTTAGGTCGGGCGTGTCCCCCTACAGGCGGATTTTGAGCAAAAAAAATCCTCAACCCCACAATAGTAAAAATAGATACCCCAAAATAGTCCAACAAACAGTGTATATATATACCAAAACAAAACAAAACAAAACAAAAACAAAAAAACGTCCCCTGACTATTTGTGTTGACTACTTTTGAAGATCCCTCCTGCAGAGGGACGGGCCCGACTTGAACTTAACTCTGGGGGCCTCTGCCTCGGGGCCCCTTGGAGGCCTAGAGTCAGCGGTGGACAAACCTCCGTTTAGTAAACCTCCCCTTCGTGAAAACGGCCTAGGACCGAAACCGACGGACCCGGACCCGCAAAGATAACGGCCGCGACGCCCTCTCGCGAACCGAGAACGGCCAGTTCCCTAATCGACGTGTCAGGGTAGGAGGTCTATCAACCTCCGATAAGGAGGAGACCTCCTGAAGACCGCCGCCCGGGGCTGGCCCCGCCAGGAGCGGGGCGCGGGCCGCGGCTGCACGGGCGGTGCCCACCGCGGGAGGCTGTGGGAGTGGGCACCGGCACCAGCACAGAGGGGTCTTTGCCTCCATCGGGGGGAGCAGGATCCTCGATTTCGACATTGGTGGCAATCTCTTTCGGCCAACTCTAGGCGAACGCGTTCCACGACTCGCAGAAAAGCTACTCGCTAATTGCCCGGATACCCCGCGGGGGATCTTCGATAAATGACACCAGAACCGACGTGCGAGTTTCGGACATTTGCGAGCAGGCGCTTTGCGAGTAGTGGAACGCGCTCGGTGAACCTAGGAAGCCCAAAGATTACCACCATCACTGAGATCGGGATCATCTTTCCAAGGTGAAGCACACCGCCGACATTGGTGCTGACGTCAACCTCTAGGCCTCCGACTCCGATCCTCCTCCAGCTCCTGGGCTCCCATCGGCTACACTTAGGTCGGGCATGTCCTCCTGCAGGTGGATTCTGAACAAAAAAGAATAACAAAAAAACTAAAAGTAGTAGAAAGAGCACGGGAAATCGTCATCAGACTATGTTTTTCACTATTCTGGAAGGTTCCTCCTGTAGAGGGACATGCCACTGAAGGCTGCACGCGAGAGTGACCCTGGGTAAGAGTGACCTTTGGTGCTCGGCTTCTTGGGGGCCGCGGGGGAACCAAACAAAAGCGCGCAAAACGCTACTATCGCATCGCGTTCGGCGATCGAGGGGCCCCAGTTGGGCCCCCACCAAAGGTCACTCTGACGAAGGGTTATTCTTACGTGTAGTCGATGCAAGAGCCGCTCCGCGCGGCCGGCCCTGCGCCTCCGTTCAAGACCAGCGCCAGAGTGTCGGACGATGCCAGAACTTCCGATGCGTACTCCGAGCTGTCCAATGAGCGCGCGCACACACACACATACACACACACACACAACCTCCTCACCTCCTCACCTCCTCATCTCCTCATCTCCTCATCTCCTCATCTCCTCATCTCCTCATCTCCTCATCTCCTCATCTCCTCGTCTCCTCATTTCCTCATCTCCTCATCTCCTCATCTCCTCATCTCCTCATCTCCTCATCTCCTCATCTCCTCATCTCCTCATCACCTCATCTCCTCATCTCCTCATCTCCTCATCTCCTCATCTCCTCGTCTCCTCATCTCCACATCTCCTCATCTCCCCATCTCCTCATCTCCTCCTCCTCCTCCTCCTCCTCCTCCTCCTCCTCCTCCTCCTCCTCCTCCTCCTCCTCCTCCTCCTCCTCCGCCCCCCCCCTTCATCCCCCCACTCCCCATGCCTCTCCGCCCGACAGCTCGTCCCGCCCCCGCCCCCCCACCCCGTGCGCAGCAAACTCACACGCGAAGGCGATCCGACCCCCACACCCCCGCGAAGGACAGCCGGTTCTTACCCCCCCACGCGATCCAGCCCTCCACACACACTCACACACACACACACACACACATACAAACAAACAAACACACACACACACACACACACACACACAAACACACACACACACACACACACATACACACACACGCACGCACGCACGCACGCACGCACGCACGCACGCACGCACGCACGCACACACACACACACACACACACACACACACACACACACACACACACACACACGCACGCACTCACGCACGCACGCACGCACGCACGCACGCACGCACGCACGCACACACACACACACACACACACACACACACACACACACGCACACACACACGCACGCACACACACACACACACACACACACACACACACACACACCACACACACACACACACACACACGCGCGCGCGCGCGCGCGCGCTTATTGAGCAACTCGGAGCAGGTTGCATCGCTCCTCCCTGACACCAAGTGGCCCATCGAGCGTCGGTTCGAGAGCCCCCGACGCGCCCCGCGGAGCCACCGCTACAGCTCTTCGTCGTGGCGGTGGTGATGGCCGCACTCCTTCAGGCAGAGCCTGCGGTAGTCTGGCCCGTCCTCCGCCGCCGCACGAGCCCTGTAGGCCCGGCCGCAGGCCTCGAGAGCGACGTCGACGGTGTCGCCCGCGTGGCCCTCGTCCTGCACCGCCTGGTACAGGCCGAGGTGGAGGAGGAGGAGGAGGAGGAGGAGGAGGAGGAGGAGGAGGAGGGGGAGGCGGAGGAGGACGAGGAGGAGGAGGAGGAGGAGGCGGAGGAGGAGGCGGAGGAGGGGAAGGAGGAGGAGGAGGAGGAGAAGGAGGAGGACGAGTGCCTGGTACAGGCCCTCGCACCCGCCTCCGACGACGCGGCGCACGCGCCCGAGGCAGAGTTCCACGCAGTGGGCGTGGCTGGGCCCCGGCCATCCGCGGACGGCCGCCCAGTGCTCCTCGTCCTGGTCCGGGGGCTGCTCCGCCCCGCGCTCGCCCGCAAGCAGGCCCCACACGGACCAGTTGTTTTGCTGGGCCTGCTGGGCCCTGGCCCTGGCCACAAGGGCCTGGCCCGCCTCCCTGTGGAGGTGCTCAAAGCCCAGGAGCATCTCGTGCAGGTCGTAGCGGCGGAGGCCGGAGATGGCACCGTGCAGCTCGGAGTACGTCTGGTGCAGGATGTCGTCCACGTCCCCGTCGCCCTCCTGCCCAAGCACAGCGAAGGGGCCCAGGGGCAGGGTCCCAGGACACGGGCAATAGGAGCATGCAGCAGGAGTGCATTCGAGACCCGCCGACCAGGGTTCGCGCCCAGATCGTGGGGACCTCTCAGGCGGTTTGCCTGCTTCAGACCGTCACGTCCTCTGCTGTCGGAGCAGATTCTGAGGATGCCTCGGGCGAGGCGCTGTTCTCAGCATTCCTCAGGGGGGGGCGCCACGGGTGAGGGCACTCCAGGAGTCGCATCCAGATTGTGGGCGGTTTGACTGTTTCGGACCAGGAGGGAGAGGGCGTGTGGAATGTTTGGCCTTCCCCCTCCATTATTCGAAGAAGAAAAGGTAGCATGAACACAAACTGCTGGAAGTCCGCGCGGACCGCCGAAAGTTTCTGGTTATGCCGTTTGCTCGTCTTTGAACTATCCCCTCCCCGGGGGTCCAAAACTACGGTTAGGTCGGGCGTGTCCCCCTACATGCGGATTTTGGACGAAAAATAACCGCCAACAAGTAACAACAACAACAACAACAACAACAACAACAACAACAACAACAACAACAACAACAACAACAACAACAACAACAATCACTTTACCCGAACGCTCAGTGTTCTCACCAGTGCCAGGGTTTTCATGCGACGCCAGCCAATACCCCCACTTTGTGGGGGGGCAGTGCAAGCTCTACCAAATATCCACACGACTCTTCGCCACCACCCACACCCAGCTTCCCGCCCTATGACGTTCGGACACTTCACTTCGTGGCCTGCGGACGACCGTGGCTACTACACTGGCGTGGAGTACACACCCAAGGTTTTTTTGATGCGCGGTGCTAAAATTCTTAAGAAGCCCAATGGTTTTTGGAGATGTCGGCGTGCGCGCGCGAAGAAAAAACGAATGTGTCCCGCATGGTATTATTTGACAGGGATGATGGCCCTGGCAGGTGCGCAACCGTTGTCGCAGAAGTTCGAAAAAGTTGCTCGCAAAAGCCCGTTTGACAGAAATGTTTAAAAAGTGTTGGGTTTCCTACGAATCCGCAAGAGCGCGCGGGATGAGATTTTGACATTTTTTTGTTGAAAAACCATTGGTTTTTTGATGTTTTTATGTTAAAATCGCTGCGAACACTAAGGTTTTGGAAGGATTTCGTCTTGCGCGCGCGAATGTCCACTTTACCTTATTTTTTGCAAGGGATTCTTGAAATTTGATTATATTAGAACAAGAAATGTCATTTTCTATTGTTTTTTGCAAGGGAAAGCGGATTACAACAAAACAACCGGATCCTGTACACACCCTCTTTTCTGAGGCTTCCTCACGAAAATGATGAAAATGTAGCTGCGGCCTAGGCGGCGCAGGGGGGGCGCGCACCAGGGGGCCCAACAATAATTATTCTTTAGAATAAATAATGTTCAACAACAACAACAACAACAACAACAACAACAACAACAACAACAACAACAACAACAACAACAACAACAACAGTAACATCAACAACAACAATACCTGAGATAGCCGTCCCCATACTATTTGTAAACGACTTGGGAATACTCCTCCTGTAGGGGGGCAGGCCCGACCTAAAACCACGCCGCAGGGGCACGAGCTCCTCCCGGGCCCTCGGAGCTTCCAGGTCCACCCCCCGGACGCCTCCGAGAGGCAAACGCTGCCCTCCGAGACTTCCCCACGGCTTGCCATCGCCCGGACGTCCCTTGCCCGAGCACTGTTCGGTTTCGCGCGTGCTCTTGCCGTCAGGCGATCCAGGATGCTCCTCGATGGGCCCCCGGCGAGAACAAATGCACCGTTCCGAGCGATGCCAAGGCAATGGGTCCGAGAAGACCCACGACCGCCCCAAGACGGTCAGAAAGCTGCCCGACGCTGCCCGACGCGGCACCAAGACCTCCCAAAACGATCCGAAGATCCCCGATGACCGAGACGGTCCCGGGAGATCCCCAAGAGAGCCCCAGGGGCGCCAAAATGCATCTTGCTGGGCCCCTGCGAGGGTCACAAAAAACGCCAAAAGTCAAGGTTCGGGATTACACGCGAGGCCATTCAGACGATCTGCGCGCTAACTCCCCCCTGGGGGCCGCTGAGATTTCAGGACTGCGGGGCCGTTGACAACACCGGAAAAGAAAGCAATATTGACTAGCTCGAACATTTGGCTCCCGCAAACCCCATCTCCACTACTCCAAATACAGCGATGATCATCTTCCTCCCTCGCGTTGAGATAGCCATCCTGCTGATTGGAGACCTCAAGCACGACAGAGTTCACCACCACATGCAATGCCAGGAACAACTGTCCCAAAAGTCCCCCACGAAGGCCCAACACTGTTTTTTCCGTCGCGGCACGGCAGAAGCGATCCGCTCGCGCGGCCAAGCAACCCGGGCTACGGCATTGCGAATTAGCTGTCCCGCGCGCAAAAAGGCGAAGGGACACAAGAGAGCCGACCGCGGAGACATCAAGAGGAGGAAGGCGAACTCGCGCGGCGAAGCCGCGGGTGGCGCGCTGGGCGGCCAGGCCGCAGGGCAGCCCCGGGCAGCGAAAGCGGGGCGGCGACCACAAAGCTTTCGCAGAGGCTTCGCGACATCCTGCCCACTCTCGTTCCTCCCCTGGCTCCTGTGCCCCTCCTGGGCGTTACGGCACTCTTCGTCGTCCTCCTGCGCTCTACCATGAAGTCGAAACGCTGTCACAAGGAACCCTAACTAGGGAACGATGCCCCTTTTTCTACATAAGTTGAATGTTGATTTCCCAGCGAAAATCGGAGGAAAGTCTAAGAACAGCTTTCAAACATTTAAGGAGCCCCAAGCCCCTCCCTAACGAGAAGGGTTCCTTCTTCGGCGGCCCGACTGTACTCGGGCATCCCCAACAATTCCCAGATCGCATTCGCCCCGTCACCTGAGCCAGCATTGAGATCGACGGAGCGGGCGTCATTAGCCTCTGAAATCCGCCAGCCCACCGGGCGGAGGGGCGTGTTGGACTTACCTTCGAGAACTCCATTCATGGTTTTGGCCCCCCATCTTCTGGCACTCCACCATTCCGCCCCCCAGCAAATGTTCCGGTCCCGTGTCTATTTTGAAGCCCAAGACGGTTTCGATCCGGCGTCCATTCAGCCCTCGTTTCGTGTTCGCTCCAGTTCAACCCCTACTGGGCTGTTTCTTGCCATCCATGCCTTACGCCTCTGAAGCCCAGCTTCGCCGATAAACTGGAGTTCTCGAATAGGGGATCGGGATCGACTACATCACTGCGTTACCCCAACAATGAATTCCCCGTCGACGTCACCGGAAAATCCGTAGACCGCCCCGACAGAGTGATGGAACATCCTGGGCATCGTCCGTAGATTCGACGGAAAAGCGCATTTGGGGTAAAACTTGGAGGCCTGGAAATGGGCACCAACACCAAGACAGGGGGCTGCCTCCACACGGAGATGATCCTAGATTTCGGCGTTGGTGGTAATATTCCGGTCACCTTGGACGCCAAAATATTACCACCATCGCCGAGATCGGGATCTTTTTCTCTTGGTGGGCGAAACCGCCGATGTTGGTGTCGGCGTCAACCTCAAGTCTGCGAAAATCAACTCTGTAGTCGACCCCCTTGCGCGAAGCCTTCAACACCACCGCAAAAATCCTGCGGATTGCTAAGGTGCCGCTCGCCCGGCCGGCCAGTCGCCCGGGTGCCTCCTCTCTGGCCGCTCCTTTCGTGCTCGTTCGTGGCCTCATTCGGCACGGAAAGACCTCTGCGCTTCTTCGGACTCGCCGAGGGGATCGACTACAAAATCGGTTACCCCAACCTTGACCTCCTCGAGCGCGCGAACAGCACGTCGACGTCGCGCAGATCATGCCGCGTCTTTGGCCGGTTTCGCCGAGAAAAAAGGTTGGGGCAAATCAAGTATTCGGCAGTGGACAAACCTCCCTTTTAGCAAACCTCCCCTTATTGAAAACGGCCTGGGACCGAAACCGACGGACCTGGACCCGCAAAAATGACGGCCGCGACGCCCTCCCGCGAACCGAAAACGGCCAATTCCTTAATCGACGCGTCAGGGAAGGAGGTCTGTCCAGCCCCGAAAATGTAGTCGATCCCCTGCTCGACGCGACGGATGCGCTCCGGGACCCACTTGTCCACGACCCGGGGCCCGGCCCTCGCCCCAAATCGGAAGCCGCCAAGCCAAGCCGACCCTCGGCGGCGAGCGAGGGAGGGGGGGGGGGACGAGACGGCGACGGCCTCCGCAGAAGGCGGCGGGGCTTCTCGGAAGCCCTCGCGCCCCTGCGAGAGGGACGAGCGAGCAAGACAGCCAGTCAGCCTAGACCCACTACTACTACTACTACTACTACTACTACTACTACTACTACTACTGCTACTACTACTACTACTATTATTACTACTACTACTACTACTACTACTACTACTACTACTACTACTACTACTACTACTACTACTACTACTACTACTACTACTACTACTACTACTACTACTACTACTACTACTACTACTACTACTACTACTACTACTACTACTACTACTACTACTACTACTACTACTACTACTACTACCACTACTACTACTACTACTACTACTACTACTACTACTACTACTACTACTACTACTACTACTACTTTACTACTATTACTACTACTACTACTACTACTACTACTACTACTACTACTACTACTACTATACTAACTACTACTACGACACGACTACGACTACTACTACTACTACTACTACTACTACTACTACTACTACTACTACTACTACTACTACTACTACGACTACGACTACGACTACGACTACGACTACTACTACTACTACTACTACTACTACTACTACTACTACTACTACTACTACTACCCCCATGTGGAATGGCGCCTGCACCGGGCACCTGGCCGCGGGACACTCCACAGAGACGCGCGCGCCTCGAGGGTCACGCACAGAGAGGTGAGAGAAGAAGACAACTCAGAGGATAACTGCGGATGTCCCCAGCGGCCTGGCCTGAGACATCTTCCACATCTGAG